CTAGCACTATAAAACCATCTTCAGTCTGGGCTAGTACAAGCAGCCGCATATACACATACACACGCATGCACGTCGTCATATGAGCGAAATATTCTCAAGCACGACATTAAAACCCAATTCACCTCACCTCACCTCACTTATTTAGCCCCATTAACGTTCGCAAATATGCAGTAGCAATATAGATCTGTCATAATTATATCAAGTTCATGTCTTGTGTCAAATTAAACCCACTCGCTAGACATCCTTCCTATTTCTAGTGTTAATTGTGCAAAACAACGGATACAATTAGAAATATACCTGGCTATTTTGTCTCTGCCTACTATATGTCAGTTCGAAGGTCTTCATGGTGAAAGAAAACATGTCTCATTATTAAGAGGTGTTATGGTTCTGAAACAAATGGTGAAATACTAACCCAAAGAAACTGAGAAATATTTCTTCACTGAAGGACTTCCTTTATCCGACCAGCATGAACTGACGGGGAAAAGAAAGTATACACCAATGTCTATTTGATGGTTGCTAAAAATGATACAAAGATAGTGGTGTATATGATGGAGATGTTTATGATATGGTTAATAACTTAATACAAAGATCGTTCATGCTTCATATCAATTGTTGTCTAAAAAAGTGACTGTTTCTGGCCTAGAAATGTTTGTCTGTTTTGATAATATCCAAATGTCAAATGTATACATGTACTTTCTTTTGCCCGACAGGTTACTTTGACAAGGAGCGTCCAGGCCCCGATTTCTCGAAACAAACTTAAGTCAGAGATTGTACTCAAATTTGAGAAAACACAGACTTAGTAGACAATTTGAGTTTGGTGGATAGATTACTTAAGTTGTTTGGGAATTTTTTATTTTAAAAAATGCAGTTGAGCTAAAAATTCAGCTGTTTCAAATTGTCAAACTCAGTTTGAAATTTGAGTAAAAACTTAAGTTTGTTTCGAGAAATCGGGGCCAGGTGACTAAAGACAATATGAAATAAGTGGCACAGCTTTTGTTATAACCGACAGTGAGGTGAGGTTCGTTAACTCCAATTCTGTTATTATTTAAACATATCCCTGCCAGCTGAAGAGTATATAAGGGTAGTTTATTGTATCGTTATTCACAAGCCGATATATCAATATGCACATTGAAGTTCTGTCATTTTACTTATGGGTCATTTTACGAATAGGCAATAATTTGATTTCTTTTCTATAGTTTTCTTTTCGTTAACTAAATTCAGTAAATAAACAAACTAAAAATAAGTCAATGACCACTTGACTCCATTTTGATCTGACGGATTACAATTATTAAAAGAAATAAATAATATTCTAAATGGGGCAGGTATTTTCATTTTACCACCTAGCCTAATTTATCAAATTTAATAAACCCAATCCCCCTACCATTGAGGAATATGTAGAGATATTGCTGTTGTAACCAGGTTAATTGAGGACTAAATCCGCCATTTTGAATTTCTAATGAGGTTCATGGTTTTGAGTCTATCTTTAGATGATGAGTCATTGTATCAGGTCTATATTTAGACCATGAGTCATATCAACACCTGGTGTGTCTATTTTTAGACTGCACATAGACTATTTTTAGACAATGACTCAGGGGTTTCCCAACAACTTAATTTTAGACTCAGGTGGGTATATAAGGCCCCCCAAACAGCCCCCATGTCATACACAACTCCGCCTCTGAAGCGACTACACATTGTGGATATACTCCATACTAGTGTATTTCTTACTGGATTACTAAACAGCCTTGGATTATACTGTGTGATTCACTGGGATTTATACTTTCAACAGCTCAATTTTCTCACTGGATTACAAAACATCTTTGGATTATACTGTGTGATTCACTGGACTTGCATTTTCAACAGAACATAAAGGTAAGTGTACCATTAGATGTTTTTTACTAACATCAGAATAGGGAATTGAAACAACTTACCTCATGGGATCCATAGGAAATTCCTTAGCACAAGCTTCACACACATATTTCCATGAACAGATTGATTCACATATATTTCCATGTTCCATGAACAGATAGATTCCCACACGAGGTATATCCAATATTGAGAATATATCCAACAGCATTTATCCCAGCATGTCTAGATGTTTTGATGGGGTGGCACAAGCAAACCATTTATGTGAAGAAACAGGTTAGGTATGACTGTACTCCACAATAAATGACCCATTTGCCCACCCTTGGGCACCTTTATTTACACAAACAAAAGACACATATATGAAAAAAGTAACAATATATACACAAAGATAGCAATATGTACAAATTTAACATAATACAAAACTAACACCAACTAACACTACAAAAACGTAATAATCTTTAAGGCTATTTCTAAAATATCTAATAAGGACTCTTCATTTCATGCTGAAGAGCCCTTAGTTGCTTCTGGTTTTCCTCCCAGATAAATGGAAAATGAACAAATTGTTTCTCAGAAGTGTGATTTACAACATTACCATTGATTAACTGAATACTTGTAACAAGAGTGTTTTAAATCACACGGTGAAGACAACAACAAAACTATTTTATGGTATGGTATACTTACCCTGTATCCCAATCGGTGATGTCAGAATAGTGGGGTGGGGGTGGGGAGGAGGCTGAAAAAAAAAAATTCCTCAAACATATCTTGCCTGAAATTCCATACTGAAAAAATTATCAAAATTTAACATAGAAAAAAATGCAGAAATACTCACAGTTCAAGAAAACAGCATCTAGATACCAAAACAATACAATCATATGTAGTGAAGGGACAATATTTACTTTATTTCTTGTTATTTCAGTTACAATGAATAGTTGTTGAGTCATTGAAAACAATTAATAACACAAAAACACAAAAAAAAATAATACTGATAACCATGCCTGAATCATAATTAAAAACTAACACTGCAGATACAAATAATAATCATAATATGTGATTACATAGTATGTGATGAATTATGGTAAAATCACTGAGTCACTTTGTATATCACAAATATAACAAAATGTGGCCAATGTGGAGAGGATTGGGATTCCCATATAGACATATAGGAAGTATGGGTATATATATATACCCAGGGAAAACCAACCATGCCACCAAGAAGAGATTAGTCTTCAGACAAGATCCAAGAAATACGCTCCCTTCGCGGGGTGCTCCCAGGTCAAAAAGCGCTTCGGTATTGGGTCCACAAGGCTATGGCGAGAGCCTGCTGTAGAACCTCTGACGCCCAGCGCGACTGTATTGCCTGCTGAAGAACCTTCACCCGCTAGCGAGACGTCTGCCGGCAGCGTATGGAAGCTTCTAAGCAAGGTGCACCTATACGTCTTTTTCTCGCTATTCCCCATACTACTACTACGCTCACCTTGAAACCATACTGGATTTGTACGATCTAAAGAACAGTCCAGAGAGGATTTATAATCTAGATGAGAAAGGTTTGATGGAGCATCACACACCCCCAAAAGTCGTCTCATCAAGTGATGTGGCCCCAGTTGCCAATGTACTTCCAAAATCAAGTACTACAACTGTGATTGGATGTGCTAATGCTATTGGTAATGCTTTACCACCTTTCTTCATTTTCAAGGGACAGAGAATGAGGGAGGAGCTCCTTGAAGGATCGTTGCCTGGAACTGCTGGAACTGTCAGTGAAACAGGATGGTCTAACAGCCAGATCTTCAGGAACTATCTCAGTGACCATTTCCTGAAATACAGCATCCCAGCCACTAAGGAGAAGCCTGTCTAGATTTTGTTTGATGGTCATGGTTCTCACCTTTCAGTGGCCTTGAGTGAATGGGCAAGAGAACGGAACTTGATTCTGTTTGTACTTCCCGCCCATACTTCACACATTTTACAGCCCATGGATGTTGGATGTGTCGGTCCTTTTGAGAGGATATATTGTAACATCCGTCACATGTATCTGCGGGAAAATGCAGCTAAGGGAGTCCGGAAACATTCGATCTGCAGATTAGGATGCAAGGCATATTCAGCTGCTCTCACACCAGCCAAAATTCAAGCATCTTTTCGTAAATGTGGAATATCACCATTCGACAAGCATGCTGTTAACAAGATCAATTTCGTACCAGCTACAGTGTACAAGAAGACAGAGAATGCAGCCATGGCAGGCACAGAGAATCAAACAAAAGCAACAACAGTCCTGTTAACCACCTCGGCAAGTGAATTGTCAACCCAAAGAGAAAAACCAATCTCCACTTCAAAAACAACAGTCTCAAACTTTTTCCAACGGCTTGATAATGTAATCTTTGAGGATCCAAAACCCACAAAAAAGAGAAATGTGATGAGTGCAATTGTCGGAGGAAAAGCTATTACTGAAACAGCCACATTGCAGAAGATGAAGGACCGTGAAACTGCTCATCCACCACCACTGAAAAAGACAAGGGGAAAATCTACCGGAAAATCTGCTGAACCATTGCCAAGAACATCAGGGACCAAATCATCAAACATGAAGAAAACTTTGGAAGTGTCTGACAGTGACTCAGAAATCGTTGATGATGAGGAGGAAGTGTGTTGCAAGTGTAAACTGTTCCAGCCAGTTGAGGTTAGAAGCTGTGTCTCCCTCATATTCTCGAAGTAGGCTCAATGTACACATCCTACTTGCCAGCATTGCCCTGACAGCAATGTTCGTTGGGCCAACATTGGCCCAATGATGGCCAATGTTGGCCCAACAGACATTGCTATCTGGGTGGGTACATCTTGGATTTTGCACTCCAGTTAAAACTGCGTTGCAAAATCAGAATTTTGGTGCCCATGCCATGATGAAAGAGAAGAGTAAATGTGATTCATTCAAAGAAAAGACTGATGTAAATATTTGTGTGTGCATTTCACAGTTTTCTGACGTTAAAACTTCGTATTTGAACTGTGTGAAGTTTTTACTGTGATATAGTGAATTCTGACGATGTAATGTCCCCAACGGAGCACCGTACATCGCCTTACATTCCTCGGAAACCCTTCCATCGGACTGACCAATCAGTGTTCGAAAACTGGTGACGTCACTTCATTGATCGGATGTTGACATCGCATGCAAATGGCAGCCGCGCTTTACGAGGATGTTTCTGACATTGGAATTTGTGCTTATTGCCTGCTGGAATGTGTCAGCTAAGGTAGGAAACGTATTTTATTGTTGTCCGCTGAATTACTGATGTTTTATAAACACCCTCGCCTTATCTGTTCGAAAACCGGTTACGCGAGAATAAATATAGTTCATAGTCTCGTATTCGAGCCAGGGTCTACATCAAACACATCTTGTACTATGTGTGGTGATATTAAACATGTCAATGTAAAATATAGATGACGACACTGAAGATGGGATTAAAATCGTAATCATCAGTTCATACATACCACTATGTGTGGTGATATTAAACAATGTAAATGATCTGTCCCATCATCGGCATGAAAATCATGAATGGCAGGTTATACTCACCAAAAATTGTCCTCCGTATGATCCCATCAAAATATTGAACAATCCCATCACGATATAGAATAATCCATCGCACAAACTCCACACATTTTGTATTGTTTCAGCAATGGAAATTAATTTCCCTCCATTTCTAAGATCAGACAAAGAAACGGCACGCACGTGGGTTCAGTAGACTAGAGTTACGTCCCTTACCTGTCTCAGTCTAAAACCGCTTCTGCCAAACCGGTTCAGTCAAACTTGGTCAAAACGGTTCGCAAACGGATCTGACTCAAAACGGTTTTATCAAAACCGGCTCACACGTGAACATTTCTAAATGATGTATTATTTTAAGTGTATATATGAATATAATAATTACAGAACATTTAATTGTTATTGCTACAGATGATGAACAGTAATGACGTTTGAACTTGAAGTTTTAACTTTTATGAATGATAATAGTATGTTGTTGAAATGACTTAACAATGAATTAACTGTTTCATCTGTAAATGAATCATGTGGCAAAATCACATAGTTCAGTGGTTCAGGGTGAATATTCCTTATATTTCAGATGGATCTCCAGGCTAAAATAGATTCTTTTGATGACTCTGTCAGTTTGATGAAGTGGGCAGAAGACCATGGTCTGTCAAACGATGAGCGAGTGAGTATGAGGTCTATATGCTTGCTGTGTAGACAGATGGAACATCAGTCAGTTGCAGCAACAACAACAACCAAAGACCAATTGGAGAAAATGACGTCTTTAGATGGCCCCAGCTCTGAAGACAGTACCTCCTTGGAGAGTATCAAAATTAATGATCAACGGCAGAAGGGTTGACCTTGTTACTTCTTTGGAACTACGTTCAGGAGAAGGCCTGATCTTTGAAAACACAGGATGACCTGCCCTAAACGTCCATCTGAAACACCCTCGTCAGCCAAGCCCAGTACCTCTAAACAAGCAGCTTTATATTCTTCAAGGAAACATTCAGGCTCTCCAGTACCAGGACCATCCCAAAAGCGCATAGACAGGGGGTCTCAGCTATCTCAGTCAATGGACAACTTGACTCAGGACAGTCTCTTTCAAGGGGATCTTGATTATGATACATATTTATCCAGTCCAGTGGGGACGAATGAATTAGATATCTATTTAGGCAGTCAACCGGGCGCTGGAAATGGAGAGGAGGTTCAACCTGCGTATGAATTTAACCTTAGAAAAGAAAGAACCTTTGCAAAACATGCAGCTGTGGAAAGAGTGTACAAAGTGAGATTTAATGATCAGTGGAAGGGTAAAAATTTAAAAGATTTACAGGATAACTTACATGCCATGTTTGATGATGTGTTAAGAGAAGCTAGAGGAAATTTACAAGATGAAGATTTGGCTCGAGTCGTGCTTCACCATCAAAATTTGCAAAATCCCATTGTGGTCCCACTAAGACCATTGCAAAATTTGAATGCAGATGTGATTCTAAGTCATATAGAAAATGTATTAAAAAGTCACAACAATTTGGCCTTGGACGATTCTTTCGATATTGATATTGGTTTTCTTGATATGCCCAAAGGAGGTGCAAGACATAACATATCAAATGTTCAAGAAAGTGTCAAACAAAAACTGTCCCTGGTAGAAATAAAAAATAAAGACAGCATGTGTATGGCAAGAGCTTTAGCTGTATGTTTTGGAAAAGTTCATCGAGTGTCTAAGGCTGAATGGGAGGATCTCCTCAAGGTTCATCCTTTAGATCAATGTGAGTGTCAGTATCTAGTCATGTCTGCCAATGACAAGAAAAATATTCATATGGCTCATTTGGCACTGAAGCACAAGAAATGTCCCCCTACACTGTTCACCAACTTGAAAAAGCATAACAACCATCAGACTCTCTTTGCCAAAACCATTTGTGACAAAGCAGTTGTGTCCAAAGAAAGAATGGCAAGTTTGACAGATATTCCTAATTTTGAAAAAGTGCTAGGTTGTCAAATTTTGGTGGCGTGTGCCAAGTTGGGAAATAAATTCATCACCAAAGGAATGTGTCATGTGTCTCTGAATATTCCTTCAACAACCAACGTGGAACTACCTCCTGTATTGAAACGTACCATTATCTCTCTATGGTGCATACTTGTGTTGTTAAAAACCGTGGGATACTCACTGACTCTAACATGGAGGGGTAGGAGTATGTTACCCATGGACTATATTGTGAATGACAGCCATTACACGAATGACTCAGCTGGAGGAGAGTATAAATAGCAGTGACTTTGTTTGTCATGGTCTTTGAGGGAGTCATCCACGAATAAGACTGTTGTGTATATAAATTTTGGTGAACATTGAATGAAACGCCATTATGTCTAAGACACTCAGACAGAACGGATATTTCTTACGGTTTTTGCAGGAGAGTACATCCGCTGTTCAAAAGAAGTTACTGTTGCAAAGTGCGACTGCTGAACAATTAAAAGCCTTGGTAGAGATTATTTATAATCTGTTACATTCAGATGTACCTCTGTCAAAGAAACATTTGACTGCACTGAGAAAACACAGAAAAGTGTTACGTTTTCTTGGTAATAAAACCATATCTCATGCACAGAAAAAACAATTACTGTCAAAAAGTGTGGCTGTCATTAGTTTAGTGTTGAAGGTTGTTGGGCCTTTATTGAAGACTTTGTAATGGAGCATATCCCAGAACAGGTGCTCATTCCTATGAATAGATATAAACGGCTCTTGAAATATCATGTGAATCCAATAAGTGGTGGGAAAATGGATATGTCATCAGATATAAATCATCATACCACCATTGATGATGAATCAGAACCCATGGATACCAGTTTGATTCTGAGTGTGCTCCCCAAACCTTACAGACAGAGAGGTGCTGCTTTATTGAGACACATACAAAATGATCCCGACCAAAGACTGTCATGAAATCGGAAAGGTGTACTCATCTACCTGGGTCAAGTCATTCAGGGGAGTCATATTGCAGACTTACTCAAGGACTCACAGTATCTGTATAAACGTTTTCAACCCAAGGGAATGACTGAATTTTATCAGGCCTTAAAAGACATACATGTGCCGCAAGGACTTGTAGGCAACAGACAACGGCTGGAAGTGGAAATGAATTCCAAAACACTGACACTGAGGTCTAAACTTCCTGGAATACCAGCGCATACTCAACAGAGGAAACAGAAGAAGCCTTTCAAATGGATTACATTGTAAATTTATGCATGTGGTTGTAAAGTAGACTGTGGGTTGACCCCTAACCTGTTGTTCTACTCCTGTGAAAAGGGGTCATTAAAACTTGAAAAAGATGTATATGTTCTTGTTTGTCTGTAGACATCTATAATAATAATAACAGAACACAGTGCCATACCTCCCAACCGTCCTTCTCCGATTGGGGACTTCTGTGGGCTGGCTAAATTTCAGTGTTTTTTATATTTATTTCCAAGTACATTATCTCATCACTATGAACATGAAACATAGTTAACATCACTAAATCTAGATAGTATGGACAGTTTTACACACATACATTAAAATACTTAGAAGCATAGTCATACATCATGGCATCATTGACCATTGTATTTGAAGTGAAACTACTTTGAATGTCATACAACACATGTCCTTTACATTTCATCATAATGTAGTAAACACAATAGAATCCACAGGTAGAGCTGTCACTGCTTTGAAGTACTTTGGTATTGTATTCATAACATGATACATTTTTACATAAAAAGTCTTGAATTTCTCTTCGATAGTAACTGGGTCTTTCTCCAAAGCTGTCAAAGTATTCTCCATAATTTGGTGAATGTAACCAAATAGCGATCCAATGCTGACCTCCTTGTGTTGAATCTTGGGTATTGACGATAAAACCTCGAGGGTAGGAGATGATTTTCTTAGGAAGTTAGTCTGCTGCACCTATTGTGACATTTAACTGTTTTGTGATTCCATCCGTATTGAGGGCACACATCAGTTGGAGTGAAATCATGGTGTAGAGTACAATATATTTCTTGCGTTATCCACTGTTAGCATGAGATTATCCTCGGAATAGAGAATCAGATTTGTTGTCTCAGGTAATGCCGTGCTAAACGGAAGGTTAAGCCTTACGCTTCCTCTTTTTATCAGATCCAAGTAGTCGTCTTTCAAATGATATGGTTCTAGACAAAACTGGTACAGAGCATATCCGCGCTTAAAGTCGTACCTGTCGATATCGAACCCTCTGGATGCTCTTCCTTCAAACAATGTATTATAAGCTGTAATGTACTGTTTATCAGTAACCCGTAGGGGTTCCCCTGGCAGTGATTCTCCATCCACATAAAGAACAATAGAACTGAGATTATACATTTGAAAATTAAAGGGAGATTTGGTGTAACTTCCATTGACGGCTTATGCAGATACCAATGCTACTACAATTTTATTGGGGACCTTGTTTTGAAACAAATTATCCTCTGTGTAGTTCAGCTGTCCTTTGGGTAAAGATACAGTTTTTATTCACTTTTGGTGAAAGGATACTTTGCTGTGTGATGGGTGAGAACTTTGGCATGACTGGTGGTGATCGCTGAGCTGGGTCGAATTTTACACATTCGCAGATAGATATCTTCTATTTTCACCTTGTAACTGGGTGAGTCTTCTCCAGACATGAGATTAAATGCAGCAGGGGTGCGGAACATTCGTATTTGTAAATCCACGCCATTAATCAAGTAGCGTGTTGAATCCATCAGATCTTCATAGAGAGGTCTACACATATCCACGGTTCCAAGACAAGTGTATTCATATCTTCCCAATAAACCTGTGTTGCTTGAATTAGGATGAGGTTCCTCCAAATAATCCGCACCGTCTTTGTAATAGAGTTGAGATTGTAGTAGAGATGTTTTCGATGATGTGGTTTCGTTGAGAAGACCCTTGATATAACTCTTGTAATCAACTTGAGAGAACAGACTTTGAAGCCATAAATTGACTGGTGCTGTTTTTCCATCTGTTGTAATGTCTGTTCCATCTGTTTTGATTATCTTGGCCTGCACATGTAAGTGAGTTCTCCTCAAGTCAATGTAATCTACCCCTTGCCCTGAGATGTTAAATTCAATGGGGCTGGAATCTGTTGTAATTTGAGACGTTGGTCTGTAGGTCATGTAATACTGTTTATCTACCGCTGTATAGGTAGGAGATACAGTGAAGAGATCAAATTCATCAGTGTTAGCTTCAACGGATACACTTTCTGTGTATGAAGCCATTATTTCTTTTTTTTTGGTGGGTTTGTCCAAGTTATCTCCAGAGCCACTTCTTTTAGATGTGCACAGCTTGTGCTTCTGGGAAGAACTGTTTTTTCCAGCTTTAGTTCCCCTTTTTTATGGGTTTCTTCTGCATCTGAATAAGAGCCTTGGCCTGTTAGACCACTTGTTGAGTAAGGGTAACGAAATTAATCTTAGGTTGCTCTGTGGTTTCTGGTTTTTGTTTGTCTTTCTTCCACTCTGGATCATACAGTTCCAAATAACGAACGACAGACATCATGGCAGATTTTTCTCCTCCACGTATTATGGAATGATAAGGATCTCCTTTCCCTTCAGCCCTGAGCATGTAAAACCGTGTCCATTTATCAGCATCGGGTACGAAGAGTTTGTATTGTGGATTATTCATGATGAAAACCAAAATGGGAGCGGCCTGAGGTGAAGCGTCACTGTCACTGGTCCACGGATAAATGAAGTTGGATTGCCCTCATGGTCTTTTATATAGACATCCACAGTCTGAAAATCTCTGAGATTCATAGGGACATACTGACACTGAGAAAATGAAAAAGAACGTTCTTTTTGGTTTTCCGTGAGACATCTCTCCCAGAGCCGTGAAATGGTGCTTTGGTGAACATTCATCCGTCGG